GAGCATTCAGCCCCGGAGGTGAGGCCTCGCGCTCGGATCACTCCAGATATTGAATCACCCCGATCCCGCTCACCAGCACCTTCTTATTACGCCAAGGGGGGCGTCGGTCCCCAGGCCTTTCATCCGACACATCCACGTGGGTGCTGCTCCATCACAGAGCTGGTGGCTGGAGCCCACCCGTACCAGGAACCCACCGTCCCCCAGTTCCCACCCTGATGCCTTCCCAGCATGTCCTGTCCCTCCCCGCAATCGCAAACCCTCATAACGGCGTTCCAGGGGCGAGAGGCACGGCGCTGGGTCCCACCCGTCCTCCGCAGCCCGGCTGGCACTCACCTCCTTTTCCTCGCCTCCCCGCTGCCACCCATCCATGGCTCCTCGGCCGCCGGAGCATCCGAAGCATCCCGAAAATGTTACCGAGATGAAACAACCTGGAGCCCTCCCCGGCAGGCATCTCCTCCTCCGGCCCACGGGGATGCAGCTGAGCGTGTGCAGGCAGAGGTGTGTGACCCACGTACTAATTTTTTCCTGTGAAATAACTTACCTGGGGGAGGGAAAGAGGCCCCCCCCAAAAGGACAAACCCACACACACCAGCAAAGCCTTGAAGTCGAGGAGCCCGAGGAGCTGGTGGGGACACGGGAGCCCTGCCCCATCCCGTGCCTCTTGCCGCTGACTCTGACCTCCCACGGAGCCACGGGCGCTGAATCCCAGGCTGGAGAGGGGGTTTCGGCCACGGCCGTCCTCTGCCCACCGTGTGCCCACCCAAGGGCCCCGGTACCGGGGCCAGGGGTGGGTTTTGGGGGATCACACCCAAGAGCAAAGGCCTACGGGGCTGTCCTGAGGGAGGATGAGGAGGCAGAAAAGGGGAGGAAGGAGTCCCAGCCCTGCCAGCGGACCTGCAGGGTGAGCGGGGGAATACCTTCCGCCCGCACGGGCCGGATGGTCAAGCTGCTCTCGTGCTCCCCTCGGCTCCCAGCTCCCTGCAACGTCCCTGGACACACATCTCCCAACCCCTGGGGACACAAAACGAGGAGCAGGGACCCTTGCTCCAGCTGCCTGAGCGAGCTGCACCCCCCGGAGCATCCCCAGCCGCCTTGCCCAGGGGAGATGAAGGGGCAAAGCACCCAACGGGCCAGATCCTGCCCACCACTGCCAGTCGGGGGCTGCTCCGTCACCAGGCTTGGCCCCAAATTCACCCGCTGGCGGCTGCGGGGAGCAGCGAGAGCGGAGCACGGCCAGGGAGCGGGTGCAAGCGGGGAGAGCCGGCAAGCTCGTCCGCCTGGTTTTTCAAGGTCACAGAGGTGGTGGGAAGGAAAGAAAAGAGAGCGAGAAAAAAAAATAGTTGACTCAGAAACCGCAGGGAATTTTTTGCCTTTTTAGAATACTGGGAAGACAAAAAATAGCCACAGTTATTCAAAGCATCCGGGATAATAACAGCCTGTTTACTGTTTGCATGCAAAGATGGCAGGCAGGCAGCACAGCACAGGGAAGAGGAATGAGGAATTTGCCGCTCTCGCGCCGCGGCCCAACCGCTTCTGCTTAGCCCAGCAAAGCGCCGGGCGGCTCTGCCGGCCGGCTGCCACGACGCCCGGCCCGGGAGGAAGGGCTGCGGGAGGGACGTGGGGCTGGGAGGGAGGGAGGGAGGGCTGGAGCAGGAGATCCCGGTGCCGGAGGATGCTGGCGGCTGCTCTGCGGCTGGGCGGACGGAGCGACGCGGAGGGAGTCGCGGCCGGCCCCGGCGCACGCGGGGCCGTGCGTCTCCCCGAAATGACAACACCCACCCCGCCCCGCGGGTCCCAAATCTGCTCCGGCTCCTGCTACTCCCCGTGCTCTGCAGGGAGGGGACGTCTTGGGAGGGGGAAGCGTTGGCCCCTCCAGCAGAAGAAAGCCAGGGGACAGCCCCCCGACAAGGCATAGGGAGAAGCCAGTGGGGTTGGGGGGGACCCCCGGGGAAGGCGGTGGGGTGAGGGAAGGAGGAAGGGGGAAGGGTTCGGCAGGCCCGGCGGGGAGAGCTTCATTCCTGCCGGCCCGATGAGCAAGCCGGGACTTGAGGTGAGAGAAAGCACCGTGGTTTGCCCAACTGGTTTGCTGGGAAGCTGGCTGGCGGGCTGGCCCACGGCGTTGCCAAACTTCCCCCACCAGATTCGGGGAATATTTGGAAGGGGAGTGAAATTCCCTTTCTCCCAAATCCTGGTGGGGATTCTTTGGCTTTTCGAAGAGCCGTTTTCCATCGTTGGTTGTGATGAGCTTGTCTTTCCCTGTCCAACTCTAGCATTTGGCAAGTGGAAAAGGAGAGATGCGTGAGAGGATGAGGAGGGACCGGAGCCAACGAGGGACCTGCCAAGCTCCGAGGATGCTCCAAGGACCAATCGCCAACCTCCAGGCTGCAAAGAGAAATGAGAAAAAACAGGGACCAAAGCTGCAGAGGTGCTGCTGTGATGCGGCACCAGGGGAACGAGGTTCTCCCAGCTGGGAATAGGACTTCGTGGACGGCTACGGGACCCCGAGATCCTCAGCTTTGTCCTGACCTGCTGTGAGCACGGGAGGGACTGTACCTCCCCAAATAGCCCCTGGGCCAGACGAGCCACCTCCCTTTCACCCACGAGAGAGCTGCTCCCCTGGGAAAGGGTGTCTCTCCCAAAGCCACCAGCGTGACAGTGGTGGCATTTGGAGCAGAGCCCGCCTGGCCCTTTTCCATCTCTCCAGGGCTGCGGATGTGCAGCCCACAGAAGGTGTCACATCCAGGCTCAGCCTCTCAGGGACATGGGAACGCAGGGATGCAAGGATTCAGGACACAGGGGTGCAGGGTAACAGGGACGCAAGGGCCAAGGACACGGGGATACGAGGATTCAGGCAAGACTGCAGGCATCGAGGACACGGGGATGCGGGGATCAAGGATGCAAAGATCACAGACAGAGGGATGGGAGTGGGAGTGGGAGGTTGGACTCCCGCATGGTATTTCAGCCATGCCACAGTGACAGGGACAGGTCCCGGCCTGAGCACATGGGATAAAGGACTGTGGGTCCGAGCGAGGCCGATGGTGAAACACGGTGAGATGCTGCGGAAAGGGCAGAGAGAAGCGCCTGTAATGACAGAGCAATAAAGCAGGTGATAATCTGCCCCCCGCGCCCCCCCCCCCCACACACCTCCAGCCTTCCTTGCACCAAGGCGTGGGGCTCCATCAGGCTATTGCTCTGGCTGAAAAGCAACCCTACCAAAACAAACGAATCCGGGCGCTGCTGCCGCATACTCGGGGGCGTAGCAGGAGGAGCCGTGACCTCCTGCCCCAACCTGCCGGGCTCGAGCATCCTCTCTCCCCACATCCCAGCTCCTGCGTTCACAGCTGGGCTTTGGGTTTTTTCCTTTCCCTCCCCGTTTTTCACACTTCTCTGTCGCCTCACTCATACAGGGCTGTGCTCCCCCATTTTCTGGCTCCCGGAGACTGTGGAAGCGCTGGGGATGGGGGGGGGGGGTGTCCAAGGTGAGACGGGCAGGATGGAGGATGGCCAAGCAGTGAGCAAAGCTCTCAACAGGAGCCCATTCCCTGAATCCCCGGACCCGGAAAGCTGCCAGCAAACGGTCAGACCTGCTGCAGGGCCGCTCTGCATCCGGATTCGGGTAAATAAAGCATGGGGCGTGAGAGCTGCGGTATGCCAGGAATGCTGTGAGCCTTCGCGGGCGGCTGCCTGCTGCTCCCCGGGCAGCAGGAGCTGGGGGGAGGCAGGGCAGGTACGGCCCCTGGCCAGGGGCCACTCGGGACCCCCCCCCAACAGCAGCAGCAGCTCCCCGTGAGCTTCTCGCCCGGTCCTCCCCATCGCCGGCCCCGTTTCAGGGAGGGCAGAAGGGTTCCCTCTCCGACATGCCCTGTGCAGGGAGGGGGGAGCTTGTTTCCCTGCTTGCAAAACCCAGAAGTTACGGGTAGAAGGAGGAGCCCGGCTCCGACCTTCCCATTCCCCAAGTCTCTCCTAACCTGCTCTTTGCAGGGACGGAGACCTGACCCACGGCCGCAGGAAGCCCCCCAAATTTTCAGCCACGCTCTTTCCCGGTTCCTGGGTGGGAAAGGTAGAGCATCGCAGTCCCACCAGGACCGGTGATCCTCCACAGGTCTTAAACCATCTTCCAGGGAAAAGTTGGTAGCAAAGCTGGTTTCTTACGCTGTCGTCCGGCATAATCCAAGCTAAATCCCGTTGCAAAGACTGGCAGAAGGTCTCCTGGTCCTGAGGGACGGCAGGGTCAGAAAACACGAGCTGCCGCTAAATGCCAAGTGATGCACAAAAGGGAAAGCCCCAGCCTGGCTGGCGATGGCTCCGGCCGGGCTGCCAGCACCCAAGCAGACAGAGCAGAGTCCCCGGGGATGCTCCCTGGGAAGCATTAATGCAACAGCTGTTAAAAATAAAAGTCAAATGTTAGCATCAAACAAAAAGCTCAGGGGAGAAAGGCTGGGGAGTAGCACGGCCTGGCTGTGGAAGACTTAAGGTAGCCCCAGCTTGAGCACCAGGAGAACTTCTGGTTTTCCAGAAGACGAAGGAGCCGGGCAGGGTGGGGAGGGCTTGGAGGTGTCTGACAAAACCAGGGGAGAGCGTGGGGACCAGGTCTGGCTGTGCTTAAAGATGTGGCCATCAAGGATTCCCCACAGCAGGAGCTTAGGAAGGCAGGAGCAGGTCTTGTGAGGAAGAGGAGGGTCCCCTCAGGACAGAGTTACCAGAGCACTACACGCAGGGAAGAAACGACATCAACATTTATTTCTAGGCAACTCCATCATCCTTTTCCCCCACTGAGGGGGGGAAATGGGATCCTAACAGGACTTTGGGGGGGGGGGGGTGTGTGTGACGGGACGCAGAGATGCTCTTGAGAATTGCCCTCTCCCCCACAGCTGCACCCCAAATTCCTGCCCCAGGGAGCTGGGCACAGGTTTCAGCCAGGGGAGCACCACCCCGAATCCCCTTCCTCCCATCGGCGCCTCCATCTTGCGGGGAAAAAAAAAAGTAACCGTGGGTCAATATTTTTTTTTTTTTTTTTTATTAAAATATTGTTATACCAAGTGGAATGCTACAGCAATCTCGGTATAGGGCGGCATAACAAAACAGCCAGGTTTACGTTTAAATACTTAAGATAACTTAAAACGCACAAACAAGAACTCATCATCTTTGGCAGGAAAAAAAAAAAAAAGTTCACAGCACGAAAAAAAAAAATACTTAAAAAGAAATACCAATATTAATATAAAATATATTAAGTTGTGGGGTGTATTTTTTTTTCCTCTTTCATAATTTTTTGTTTGTTTGTTTTCCACTTTGTAAACAATGCACGAGAACCGAACGCATTTTTTACGTGTCTGGGAGAGAAAAAAAAAAAAATAAAAAAAATGCAGTTGTCCAGCAAATGCACACATGTTTAAAGAAGAAAGAAAGAAAAAAATATATACACGAAGGGCAAGGATGGGAAGGATCTGAGCTCGGAGGTGTCGGCACTGGCTACAGGCAGAAGCCAGCTGCCGGTAGCTGGGGGGATGTGGCGGTGGGATGAAGCCACGAGAGGGGCAGCACATCCCACCGCCTCCATCAGCCGTGGTCGGTTCACTCCGAGCCTTTCGCCTCCGGTTTTCGAGGGGATTTCTCCTCCACCTTCCCTTCCCTCGATTATAATCTTCTCTTTTGCTTCACCACCACCCCCGTGCCGAACCCCTCGCCTGCCCATGGTGAAAACCCAGAGGCGGGATGCTGGCGCTGGATGTCGACGGTGGAGGTTTGGGGCTCCCGGCACTCGGCTTGGCCACGTCGGTGGGACCCACGGGGGGTCCCTCGCGCAGAGACATCGGCTGGCGGGTACAGTTTGGGCAAACCGAGAGGGATTTTTCCAGTCGGAGACCGAGCACCTGGGTGGGTGCAGACGGCCAAGACCCAGAGATGGGATGGGGATGGAGCCAAAGAGGGAAGGGCACGGAAAGAAGCCCCCCCCGCCCCGGGAAGGAGAAGGGGTTGAAACGATAAATACGTTTGCTCCCATCGTACAAAACCCCGGTGTATTTACAAGGGGGGGGGGCGAGGCCCCGCCGCCGCCGCAGGGTCCCCGGGGCTCCAGCGCGCCCCGCGCAGCCGGGGACCCACGTGGGTGCCGAGTGGGGACGGTGGCTCTCCCACGCACGGGGGCCACCCGCTGAGACCGGCCGCAGGGACAGTTCCAGGCTCGGTCCTCCTGCCCGCCGGCTCCTCCTCCATCCCCGGGCGGGCGCAGCACAGCCCCTGGCCGGCTTTAAATCAGGATCTCCACCATGTCGGACAGGTCCGGGGCTCTGGCAGCGGGCGAGCTCTCTGCGGAGAAAGAAGTTGAGAGCTGGAGGAGAGGTGAAGAGCACCGGCACGGCACCCACCCCACGGAAGGGCCGGCAGCAAGCGTGCTGCTGGTCCAGCCTTCCCCTGGAGGTGTTCCCGAAAAAAAAAAAAAAAAAGCAATGCACCTTAAAACCAAAAAAAAGCGACGCGTGATCGCAGGGATTCAAACCCACCAGGCTTTAAAGGCCTTAAAAAATAAAAAAAATCCCCGATGCTTGTGCAAAGCCCGTCTCCTGGGTGCTAGGCTCCGTGCTGGAGCAGCCCTGGCTCCCCCCGCCCCCCCGGGGGGACTCACCCAGCAAAGCGGCCGGGCGCTCGGTGCCCTCGCCCTGGCCACTGGACTCAGCCGCCCCGTCTGTCTGCGTGCTGCCGTCCTTGCTGCCGTGCTTGGAGTGGGAGGAGGGCAGGGGGAGGGCAGCGGGCGCTGCTGCCCCTTCAGCGGTGGCTTTTCCTGCCGGAGGAGATGCCGTTAAGGATTGCCAGCTCCTCCGGCTCACCGAAGAAATCCCCCACCACCCCCCCCGGCTTCCCAAGCTCTCTCCTTCCAAAACCGCAGCGGGGATCTTGCAGGCAGCTCCCTGCCCGCCGAGTGAAGGCAGGGAAGGGGCAAGGTGCCTCGATTTACCTGCGCTGCCCCGGGAGATGCCCTCGGTCAGCCGGTCGCTCGGGGCGGCCCCCGGCCAGCTCGGGGCGGCGGAGGCGGCGAAGACGGAGGGCACGGATTTCGCCGGCCGCAGGGAGCCCTGGAGGGCTTTGCTGGGGTCCCGCCGTGAGCGCTGCTGCAGGACCTTGATGACGGCGTCCTTCTCCAGGATTTGGGCGTGAAGGGCTTTTAACCTGGGGGCGGGAAGAGGCAGAAGCTGGGAGAGGAGATGTCGGAGGGGGGGGGGGAAGAGGAGGACGAGGGCATTGCCCAGCCAGAGCGCAGCGCGAGCCTGTCGCCGAGGTGGGCTTACCTGTTCTCCATCTCCTGGTGCTTGTGGCTGGCCAGGAGGAGGTCCTCGTTGAAGCTGCTGTTGGGGGAGTGCCGTGGAGAGTGGCTGATGAGAGTGGTGTCCCGCTGGGCGGCCGCGGTGGCCGCGGCGTCCATGGCGAACTGCCGCATGGTGCACTCCTCCAGGTACTTCTGCTCCCACTTGGTCATGTCAGCCTCCAGGGCCAGGATCTTCTCTTCCTTCTCCCGCAGCTGCTCGGAGAGCGTGTGGGCACTCAGCTCCGGCGTCCCCCCGCCCACGGCGCCCGCCTGCCTCTGCAGCAGCAGCAAAAAAAAAAAACCAAAACAAAACAGAAAACAAACCAAAAAGCAAAATGCACCACCAAAAGAGGAGGAGGAGGAGGATGCGGGACCCGCCGCGGCTCGCCGGCGCCCACCTGCTGAGCCCGCAGCATCTTCAGCTCCTGCTCCAGGCGGGTGCGGAGCCGCAGCTCGAGCTGCTCCCGCTTCTCGCAGGCGGCCTGGAGCTGGCCCAGGGCTGCCTGCAGCCGCTCCACCTTCTCCACGTAAGCCCGTTTCTTCCGCAGCTCGGCCTCCGCCTTGGCCGCCCGCGCCTGGGCGCTGCCCAGCGCCTGCTCCAGCAGCTCTGCCCGCTGCCGCTGGTCCTCGTTGGCGCTGCGCAGCAGGGACACCTCCCGCTCCAGCTTTTCCTTCTCCTGCTGATGCTCGTAGCCTGCAAGAGAGGGCCCCCCCCCCCAAGTTTCAGGCGAGGAGGCTTCACCACCCTAAGGCTGATCCACTAAAGCCTCGGGGAGGGGAGGGGGGGGGGGGGGGCGGCTCTTTGCTCCCCAAAACCCAGCCGTGCCCTCCCCACCCCCCAAGGTCCACAGGGGGCTGGGGGCATCTCAGCCACTCGGGCTGATGGCTGAAAGCCTCCATTTGCCGCCTTTCAGCCCAAATTTTGGCTCTTGGAGGGTAAAAGCTGCCCAGCGTGAACCCAGGCACCTTAGGGAAGGGGATGCGCTTCCTCCCCCCGTAACATCAACACCGTGTCTCTCTGCTAAAATAATGGATTTAGGTGTATTTTCCCTGCAACACCCCCCCCCCCAGAAAAACAACCTAAGGAAGCGCAGGCCTGCACAGCTGTGAGGCTGAGGAGGGGGGAGGGAGAGAAGGGCCATGGCTGGCGCGGGAGTGCGGGCTCGGCGCTGGAAGAGCCGGCGCGGCGGCAGGAATGTGGAGAATGCGGGTCACGCCACCGGCCTGCCGGGATTAATGGCTGGAGTCCAGCGCCGAGAGCGGCTCCATCCTCCCCGGGGAAGGGCGAGAGCGGCCGCCCGCCTCCCCCTCCAGCCAAAAAAAGAGAGCGCCGAGCCCACCCGGGGCATCCCGCTCACGGGACGGGGGGGGGGGGCACGGGGAGCCGGGTGTTCCCCCGACTCCCTGGGACTTACTCTGCGCCAGGAGTTTGGCCACGCTGCCCTGGTTGCTTTCCTGGCTTTCCTGGGTCTTGCTGGCCAGCTGCTTGTTCGCCGATTCCAGCCGCTCTGGTCCAAAGGCAATTAAAGCCCGTTAAGATTGAAATCCAAGATTTTGGCCCGAGGAAGTGGGAGAAGCCTGCCTTCCCGTGGAACCAGCCAGGGGACAGGGAGCGCCCGCAGGGACGGGCACGCCGAGGGTCCCTCACCTTTCAGGTCCCGGTTGAAGTCCTGGAGCCGCCGCATCTCGCCGTCTCTCTTGCTCCTCATGGCTTTCTCCAAGGCTTCCCGCTTGGAAGACGCTTTGACGAGGTTTTCGTAATCCTCCGAGATGCGCTGGATCTCGCTCTCCAGCTGGGGCGGAGGAAGGGACAGGCCGGGGTTAGATATTCGTGGAATGAGGAAAGGAAAGGGAGATGCTGGCCAAACCTCGCCCAGGTCGCTCAGCCCAATCCGAGGAGCTCAGCGCACCCATGGAACACACACACCCCCCCCCACCCGGGGTTGACCCCCCAGGGCGCTTTTGGGGGGGGAAAACTGATTTTTTTTTTTTTTTTTTTTCTGCTTTTCTCCTTGCAGAAGAGTCCCTCCGCAGGTTTTGGCTCTGCCGTAGCCCGGCTGGCGGGGAACAGCCGCTCCTTGTACACGGCCGCACAAAGGGCTTTCTGTGGCGGCCGGGGATGGGGGGACAGGGTTTGGGGGGGGGGGCCCACCAGAGAATGGGCTCCTTCTCCCCCATCCCGGCTGCCGCGCCTCCGAAACGCAGCTGCTCGGAGGGGAACAACCCGCCGGAGCACGGGATTAAAACGCTAAAGGTGAGGGGGGTGAATTTTCACAGCAGCTGGTTGAGCATCCCCCCCCCCACCACCACCAACAACCACCACCCACCACCCACCAACACCTCGGGGGTTGGGGAGGGGGGGGTGTCAGGGTACCACGACGCCGCGGGGCTGCCGCTGCCCGCTCACCTTCTGGATGCGGCTCGCCTTCTCGGCGCAGCTCTCCAGCTCCCGCCGCAGCTTCTCGCTCTCCCGCTGGAGCCTCTCGTTTTCCCGCAGGACCGCGTCTGCCCGGGCCAGGCGGCCGCTGGCCGAGACGGCCTGGGCGCTCACCAGTGCCTCCACGCCGGCGGGACCCAGCGTGCCCGGGCACAGGGAGCCCGGCGGCGGCAGGAAAGCGGCGGGGACGTGGGTGGGCAGCACCCTGCAGGGAGGGAGGGAGGGATGCTTGAGGATGCCTCCTCTCCAGCATCCCGCCGACCGCCCCAAAACCCGCGGGCCAAACGGGGTGCCGGTGCCTTTGGGTGGCCCCAAAGGAGGATGGATGCTCCGGGAAGGGGCCTATCCTGCTTTCCAGAGCCGGGAAGCGTTCGCTTTCTAAAAAGCGCTCACCCTCCAATCTGAAATAAACCCCGTCTCGCAGCAACGCCTCGACCTGACAACTCCAAGAGCTGGCTGACGGGCTCCCAGCCCCCGCGGCCCACCCTATCGCTGGGGCTGGGACAACAGCCTGGCAAACGATGCGCCTTGGAAGCCAGCGGCGCCTGCCCCTTTTCCTCGTTTTCTGGGCAACGCCAGGCCTCCCGACGCCAAACGGCTCCCCCTCACCAAACTATTAATTGACACGTCCTCGCCGTATTCGGAGGAGCGGGGCCAGCCCCGAGTTCCTCGACATCCCGCGGCCGCCTCGAATACCCCGAGCGGGGCGGCCGCGCGTGGCCCGGCCCCGCTCTGCCGCGGGCTGCCCGCCAAGGGCCCGCATTCCTGCGGGATGATATAGGAGCGAGGAAGAATAAATACATCTTCCTCGCGGCTCCCCTTCCCCTCTTTGTTCCCTGGAAGGAGAAGGTTTTCCTGCCTGCTATTGCTCTCCGCCTGGATAAGTCAGAAGGGCTGGGAGCGGCGTCCTCCCTCCCATCGAGCCTCCAATTCCCTTCTTCCCATCGTTTTCAACACTGGAAGAAGTTGCTTCCAGCCCTCCTCAAACGCCACGGGATGCCACCAGGACCTCCAGATCTCTCCGTGGCCGCCTTGGAGGCAAGCTAGGGCTTTGCCGGAGGTGTCAAGCTGCCCGGCGATGCTCGTCCCCCCCCCCCCCCCTCCCCAAAAACCACCCAGCACCAGCCCAGGCTCAGCTCGGCAGCAAACCAGCAGCAAACCAGTGCTACGCGGACACCCCCGGCTCAGGACCGCGGCGGGGGTTTCCACGCGGAGGGCAGCACGTTTGCCTTCCCCCCCCTGCCCCATGCCTGTTCCACAGTTAGCCGTTTTTCTGACCTGGTTCCAGCCCCTAAATGAACCCCAAATTCCTCCCAGTGCGTGGAGGCGGGGGGGCGGAAGGGTCTTGCAGAGGCAGTGGGATTTTCATCGCTGGTCGATAAAACCCAACTGTGCTGGGGGAAAACTGGGGAGAGGGGAGGACCGGAGGGGTCCCCGCAGAATCCCACAGGCTGAGCCGGATCCGGCCCCACGAGGATGAGAGGACCAGCGAGAGCTGCCCCGGGCCCCCCCCCCCCCCCCCCCCCCCCGGCTCTCCGCATCTTCTGAGCACCCATCCCGGCCGCTCCCGGGGCGCCCCGGCCGGGAGGCACCTGATGGGCACCCCAACAGCGAGGGCCAGGGGCCGTGGGTTACCTGATTTCAGGGTGCTGAAATCCAGGACCTTCCCGGCTGCAGGGTCGGGGTTCGGCCAGGTACGCGTCCTGGGAAGGGATGACGTAGGGATACTCCGGGGGGGGTCCCCGCGGCTCCGGCCCCTCCTCGGGGTGCTGCCCTCGCAGGGCAGCGAGCTGGTGGTGGCGGGAGAGCTGGGGGTAGCTGTGGGAGGCGCTGATGGGGCTCTGCGCTTTGGCCCCGTTCCTCTCCAGCGACATCCGCATCAGCCGCTCGCTCAGCGACCGCACGTGGCCGTGCTTGAGGTCCTTCAGCCCTTCGTCGGGGCGCCGGGCGCCGCTCTCGGCCCCGCGTGGGCCATTTTCACCCCGAAGCCCCAGGCTGGCCCCGCGGGGCTGCTGCCCACCCCGCTGCGAGGCGTAAAACTGGGAATGCGCCTTGGCCTCCTCGTAGGTGGGGAGCTCCTCGCCCTTGGGCTGGGGCTGGCAGATCCGATAGACGCTGTTCTCCAAGTAGAGGTGGTCGGAGTGATGCTCTTGGCCCTGCGGCTCCTGCCGCGTGGATTGCTGCACCATTTGGCTCTCCTCCGGGCTGAGGCTCTCCAGGGAGGAGCGGGGGCTGCCGGCACCGCCGCCGCGCAGGGCCTGCTGCTGGATGGCCAGCAGCGTGCGGTTCTCCGTGAGGTTCCCGTAGCGCAGCTGCTCCTGGATCAGGCGGTGCAGGACCGTCCCGTTCGAGTCCTCCGCCGTCCTCATCTCCGTCCCCGCCGTCGGCAAAGCCACGTTTCCACCCGAGAAGGGCGTCGTCGTCGTCGTCGTCGTCGTCGTCCCCCCCCCCGCGGGGGGGACCTTTAGCAACAACCGGCCGGGCCGAGGCACCTGCGTGGGGAAAAGGGGGATAACTGGGCAGCGGCTCGGGCAGGAGGGCGCAGCGCAGCCCCCGATCAACGAGGGGGGGGGTGTTTTGCAGGACACCCACCCCCCCCCCCCCGCTCGGCTCGCTGGCCGCAACGGGAGCGCGGGGGCAGGCACCCCGCCGAGCCCCGGCGCTCTCATCGCACCCACGGGAGGCGGCGGGCTCGGGGGCGGCTTCCCCGGGCGCCGCTGCTGCCCGGAGGCCCGGGGGATGGGCGTCCCCGGGGAGCCGGGGGGGGGGGGGAACGGGCAAAGAGTCCCCGGGAGGCGGGCGGGGAGGGCTCGGGGGGTCCCGCCGCGGGTGGGAGCCCCGCCGTGGGGTGGGGTGGGGGGGGGAGCGGCACTTACCGGGGCATGGCGGAGCGGGGCGGCGGCGGTGCGGGCCGGGGGAGAGCGGCGGCGGGTCTGGGCGTCCCGCCGGCAGCGGGGGCCGGCCCGGGCGCTGCTATGCCCGGAATGCAGGGGCCGGGCCCGCCCCGCTCCGCCCCGGGGCCCCCCCGGGCCCGCCGGGGCAGCTGCCGGCAGGGGGAGCACGGACACGGACACCACCACGGACACGGGTGGGGGGGGGGGGGAAATCGTGGGGCAGCCGCCGCTGGGCCGGCCTGGCGGTTTCAGACCCACGGAAAAGGGAGAGGGGGACGCGCGTAACCCCGCTTCTTCCAAGCCACCGGAGCGTGGCCCCGGCCCCACGCGTGATCCACGGGCGTGCGAGGCGGGCTTGGGGGATGGAGCAGCGGGCCGGGAGCCGGCGTGTGCCCGGGGGGCTCCCAGCTGCCGGGATGCGTGTTGGGGGGGGGGGGGGGGGAAACACACACACGCAGGACGGGACTGGCGAGCTCTGCCCGCCAGCTGTCCGGGACCATAAATCTTCCTCTTTCATGGCAGCTCGGAGAGACGCGCCATTGTCTGCGGGCCCAAGCCAGCCCCACAAAAACCTGCCGGCCCCATCTGCTCTGCCCCGCGCCCCCCTTCCTCGCATCCCCCCCTCCCGCCCGGCTTGGGGGGATCGGGGCTGGCTGCAAGCGCAGCCATCCCTGCCGCCTCTTGGCTGCTGGGCGCTGGCGGCAGCTTTGGGCACCCCCCCACACCCCCCCCCACCTCTCTCCCAGCCTCAGTTTCCCTTTTTGTGCCCTTTGCAGCAGTCCCCCCCCCCCCCCCCCGCTGCTCTGGGGAACGCGAGGGGATGGAGGAAGCCAGCAGGGACCAAATTCTTTTTCCCCTTTCGGCACCGAAGAGGCCCAGCTCATCTTCAGGGGGGACACGGCGAACCCCCAACCCCCAAAGCAGGGAAACACAAGCTCCGGCTTGGCCCCGAGCACCCAACGCTGCCTGTGGGGCCCTGAGACGGCAGATGGTCGGAGGGGAGGCGGTGGCAGCGGAGAGGCAGGTGCAGGGGAAAATTGCTAATTAGCTCCGCGACATTAAGCTCCTATTCTTGTGAGAGAGAACTCAGCATCTCCCGAGCGAGCGAGCGGCTCAGACCCCGGAGGCAAGTCTGGAGTGGGAAGACACGGTGGTGAAATCCACCCCATCCCACCCCAGTATCACCCCTGGGCCACCCCAAACACCCCAAAAGCCACGGGATGCGATAGCAGACAGGAGGCTGCAGGCTCAGCTCTCTCCCTCTGGGTTTTCTTTCCAAAAATGGGGGGGGGGGGGGGGGGCGTGGAAATAATCCCCAACGTGGAGCAGGTAACAGACTCAAAGGCAGGGGAGCGTGCGGAGGGAGAAGGAGTCGGTGCTTGCAGGAAGAGGAGCGCAGTGTTACAGACCCAGAGATGAGGGATGCGGCTCTGGCGTGGTCAATCTGGATTTGGGTTTAACAAAGCCTCACAGCATCCCCACCCAGGCAGGTCCTGAGCCTGCGCTTAGCGCCCGGAAGCTCATCCAACAGTAACAGGGCTCCAAAAACCAGTTTTTCAGCCCAGTTTTATCAGTGAGGAGTCAAAAATCCACCCAGCTGGAGTTTCAGAGGTGGGAATCAGCACCGGCCCCGTGGGTGTGGGGAAGAGCCCGAAAGCCTGGTGAGGGTCTACCCTTTCAGGGGGAGGAAGACACTGGCTCTTTGTCCCTGTGTCCCTAAGCACGTGCTGAGCCTGGAAACACCAGCCCAGGCCCAGCACTGGGTGGGTGGGTGGATGGATGGATGGATGGATGGATGGACGGACGGACGGACAGACGCAGTGCTCTGAGATACCAAGCCCCTCAGCATCACCACCAAAGGGACCCTGCTGTGGCTCTGTCCTGCTCTGTTCCCAGGGAATGGGGCAACCCACCTTCCCAGTCCCGAGGGAACCAGCCCAGTTCCCCCAGTAGCCGAGCTGCCTCTCCCAGCTCCTCTACCCACCTTATCTATCCCTGCGTCATCCCGCTTCCCTTCCTATCTTAACACCGCTCTATTTTTGGCAGCAGGAAACCCCTCCTGGGCTGATAACACCCCTTTGGAAAGCGATCTGAAGAGTTTCCTCTTTTTAATGCTGGAGGTAAGAAAAACCTCAATCTTTTTGTTTCCCCTTGGAGGTGGTGAAATAGCAGCGGGCAGCCCCGCGCTGGGCTGGACCCGGGGGAGCAGTGGTGGGAGCACCCCGGGGGGGCTGCCCACACGGACCCTCTGCCCGGGTTTGGAGCGTGTTGGGGGGAGAGCCCGGCCGGGGCCGTGCCGTGGGGCACGATCCCTGGGAGCGGCGGGCGAGCGCAGGTGCCGGTGTCCCGGGCTCCCCGGGAAGGGGGGGTGGGGGGGTGTGACACACGGCTCGGCAATGCAAAACCCTCCCACTGACCTCACCACCGAGCCTTATCGGCAAGGCGTTGGAGTGAGACGAATGAGCCAAGAAAATACTCGCGGGATGAGATCACCTCGGCTGTCTTCGTGGCTCCCAAAACTCCTTGGCCGTGACGGGCCCAGATAACCGGGGCGGCGTGGGCAGCTGAAGGGGCCTGCCGTGGAGAGGAGGGCTGAAGCTGGCTTTATGCTGGGCTCAGCGCATCTCCTGGGGTGATGGTTCCGGCGGTGAGAGCCGAGCCGAGCCCCGCTGCCGGGCTGCGGGGTGCTCAACTCCCCAAACAGCTCCACGGCGATCTGGCCTCCTCCAGGGACCTGCTTCTCTCCCAAGCTCCCGATTCAAAGTGCAGCCGGGTGGGAAGGAAAGCTGGAGTTCAAAGGGGGGCGTGATTGCCTTTCCTGTACTGTTTCCCAGTGTCAGGGAGGGGGGGGACCCCCCCCCCCGGGGGGCACCGGGATGCTGAATCCCTGTGAGCAGGGAGCACAGGCAGCGCCCGGGCCCTTCCAGTCCCCCCAGCATCTCAGCTGGGTGCTCCAGTCCTGGAGACACCCCCCCACGAGACACCAGGCCCGGTCACGACTCCTCTCCCCTCTCCCCCGATACCGGGTTTCCCTCCATCAGCTTGAAACGGGAGCCGCGCCGTTTTGGGGCTATCCCAGCTCTGCCTGCCGCGGGGGTGCGTGGCTTGGGGTACTGCTGTGCAACAGGGCGAACCCCTTTGCTGTCGGGGAACACTCCTCAACGTGACTGGGGAGGGCCTGGGGTGGGAATGGGGTCCTCCTGGTTTTGGCCCACTCCCTTCACTCCTTTTGTGGCTGCTTCACGAGCTGGTGACTGATACGGCTTTTCCTCGGCGGGGGAAGGAGAGGAAAGATCCCTTCCTGCCCACGGGGAAACCCAAAGAGCCTTGGTGGGGGCTCAGCTGGAGCGATGGGGGGGACCAGGGCCGGTCCCGTTGGGAAGAAGAGGCTCTCCTCTGAGACATGGCTCCAGCACTGCTCCGACCTGCCCCATCTCTCCGGGAAAGAGCAGGTTGCCTTCACACCTCAGGTGCCTGTCCCAGAGCCAGAGCCCTCAGACTCACCTTTTGTTTTTTTGGGGGGGGGGGATGCTGGGTCTGACCCCAGGTGAGGGTGGCACGAGGTTGGGGCACCTCTGCTCCCCACCCACACCTTGTCCTGGGCGCTCTCCTCTGCTCCTGGGGCAGGGCAGCACCACCTGCCACACAGCTGGGACACCCCAGAACCGGGTATTTTGGGTGTTTAGTCCCTGGGTATTTTGCCGCAGTTCTCCATCAGCCAGACACCCAGGGAGGTGCTGCCATGGGTGCACTCGCAAAGCCCCTTTTCTCAGGAATTTGGGGAGGGGAAAAGCGTGACTGGAAACCCCCCCCGGGGCTGCTGCTCACCCATGGGATAAACGCGGGTTCGTGAGCGTGACACAGTCAGGGGTGCTCTGCCAGCTCCGGCAGCCGTCCCGCGGGACCAAACCCAATTCCCAGCAGCAGGGACAGCCCCAAGCCTTGCCCGGCTGTTGGGAAACCATCACCCCAGGAGCCCAGCAAGGAGGCGGCGGGGCTGGATGCCTCAGTGCTCTCCAGCCCTGCTAAACAACCCTGACATAAGGGACAAGGTAAAAAACGTGCAAGGACAACGCGCAGAGTTGTGCCAAAGCCACGTGGCCACCGGAAAGGGGCCAGGACCTTTCTCCTCCTCTTCTCTGCCTTTTAAACCCCTTGAGTCATTTCCATTCCTGGACGTTAAATCGGCCTTTTCTGCTTTCCTTTATTTCTCCGTTTCCTGAGAGGGGCTCGTTGTTCCTGACCTGCCGGCGCCGGCCGGCGCGGTGGGACTCGGGCTTTGGTTTCAGTCGCGGGGCATCCGCCAAGGAGATGCCGTGGGGAGCAAAGGGCGAGCGGCCCAGCGAGGTGCCGGGAGAGCCACCAGCCCCAGGGGCCACGGCTGGGCATTTCCGTAGCAAAGCCCTTCCCTGTCGTTTGGCCCCCTTGTTCTCACAGTTGGTTGGAGGCATTTTCTCACTTTCTTGAGAAATGGGAAGCGCAGGGTGCGATTTCCTGCCCGCGGGAGGGCTGGCGGCAGACAACCCTCCCCCCCCAGCATTGTCAGGAGAGGTGACAGCTCCGTCCCCTGCCCTGGCACCAGATGGGAGGGTGGTGCCACCCGGGAAAGTGCCACGGGCAGATGGCCACGGGCAGCGTCCCCTCGCTGGCCACGTTTGCACGCTTGTCTCTGCTCCGGAGCATCTCCAGGCTTGTCTGTACCCCTTCCCCATGGCCAAGCAGGGGATCAGCACCCTAATTTGGAGCCAGCGCCTGCAAAAGGAGGGGGGGGGGGTTGGGGGTAGCACCCAGAGGGGCAGAAGGACTCCAGCCCCCCTGCCCTCCATCGCCCTGTTGTGATGAAAAGAAGCGCACACATCTTGGGTCCCTAAGGAAACTTTGCATCTTCCTGGCTGTGGGGATAACCTGCCGGGGACGCAGCCACGGCAAAAACAGTTCGGCGTTGTGTTCCCAAACACAGAAGAAGTAAGAACTATCCATCGTGAAAGAGCAGGCCCAGCTGAGTCATG